ATTGTTACTTGTTTTATTATTATTTTTTTTTTTATTAAGTACAGAGAAGATTTCTTTTTTTAAATAAAGGTATTTGTTTTAGATGTATTTTTAAATTTGTCACTTATGTTTATCCATTTAAATATTAAGCACATTATAGGACTAAAAAAAGGTCATGCCATCAGGATGTAGTATACAGAATAAAATTATACCTTAAACTAAGCGCCCCCCATAAAAAAATCCTAGATCCGCCACTGGTAACAATATGTTAAGAGCCTTTTATTAAATTTTCAAGCTTTTCTGTCTAACAAATAATTTTTTATCGATATTAATTTAAAAAAAAACTAATAATGATCGAAAATTTCAAATGCCTATGTATAGTTCAACTTTAGTTGAACATTTTTAAAAATTGCACGGTGGATAGAATATACTTATATAAACATTCGGTGAAAATTTCATGTATTTATGGTCATTCGTTTTAAAGTTACATCAAAAACCAAAATCGATTTTGTCGAAAAATGAGTGTGCATAAAATTTCCCGTTTTCCCTTAATTTTTAGTTTGTTTTTCTCGGTTATTTAGAAAAGTATTAATAACTTTTTTACTCTTGACCCCCCAAAGTACCAACTTGATTCACTTTCTGATCGAACGAGGTACTGAAATAAAAAATCGAAGCATTTTTACTGGACCAAAACGTGATGACAGACAAAAAAAAAATAAAAACACACATCATGTTAAATTCAAAACATTCATCGCTCCGCTCAGAATCTAATATCAATACTTTTTATGAAAATATAGAATTCTTACGCTTGGCTAACAATTTTTCAATAAATGAATATATTACACATTAATAAGAATGGTATTTATGCCAGAATTTATGATGGTACCTGTAAATTTCATAATTGTGCAATTATTATGATACTCACGATTTTTAAAGATGTTCATGTAGAATTAAAGTGATTAAAAACCACATTTTCAGCAAATAAAAATTCAAGTATCAAACAAAAATATTTAACCTAATTTAAAAAGTCGACGTCTAGTTTCACATAAAATATAAAAATTTTACATACTAAAAACTTTTAGCTAAGTATAATAATTATAAAGTGTATTAGTGAAAATTATGGTTTTATTGCTCAATAATATTATTTTTATTTTTCTCTCGAAGGTTAGATGCTATTAAATGTGTAAACACACGTCGTTCCTTTTCCAATTGGGAAAGTTGGATCGAGCACTCCTCCTGTTCTCGTTTCACTGTTTTCAAAGCCTTATCAAGTTCCTTCGATTCAAGAATCAGCATATTTCTTTCGCTAAGTTTCCTCTCAACAGCTTCAATCCTTGTGTTTTGATCCAAAATCGCTTTCATTTTGCTTATAATATCTGTGACACTAAAATTTTCATTAGTTGAATATTGATCTTCTATAGTTTTACGTAATAATATAATTTCTTGACCGATCATTGAATTTTCAAAATTCAAATTTATATTCTTTTTTACATCGGACAAAGAATGAAAAACTTTATCAAGGCGTTCAATTTGGAATTTTACTGGACGAACTTTTCTTTTTTCTATTCTTTTGGCRAATCTCATTATTATATATTAATACAAATATATTATTTATTTAAATTGTGATTTGATATTAAAATATTATTGACTTATTTATATTCAAYGTGTGCCATTACTATAGTTATTTAAGTACAAATTATCTGTATTTTATATTTTCAGCGGAGCKATGAATATATTATTTTGATTTTACAATTATGCGTGTTTTTTGTGTCTATATCTACTAATAAATAGTAAACATAATAATGTTTTGATCTTCAAATTCAGAATTTTTTCCGTTAGAATAATGAATCTAGTTGATACATTCGAAAGTCAAAATTTAAAATTCCCATCGGTTTTTAAAAGCACCTGAAAAAAAAAATTAGGGACAACGTAAATTTTACGTGAAATCGGCTTTCAACAAAATTGATTTTGGTTTTTAGGGTTATTTTTAAAAAATTTCGGTGGTTACATGAATTTCTTAATGAATACTTATTTTAGCATTTCCTACACACTATGAAATTTTTAAAATATTTTGACTTATTTTGAGCTATTTATAGTAATGTATGTTGAAATGTTCAATAGTTTTCATTAGTTTTTTTTTTAAATTATTGGCAATAAAAAAATTTCAGTCGGCCAAAACTTTGATAATTTATTTATGGAAATTATAAAAAAAGTTTTAATTTTTACAACATTRGATATTTGCTTGATTTCTTATGGTGCATTTCTCTTATTTTGTTATAATTAAAAGACGAATAACTGTAGATATTCGAAATTTACACTTAGCTGTATAGGTTTATTTTATCATTTTCTTTAGTTCATACAATTTTCAAAATATTTTAATTCGTTTTGAGTTGTTTATGGATATTTAAAATTTAATATGCTTTTAGATTTTTTTCTATAAATTTCAATCAAATTTTGTTTGTTGGGTTAAAGTGCTTAAGATTGTATACATTACTCCTGATATATTGTTATAATAGCAATCGAAAAATATTACAAAAAAACACATTAGGTATGCACAATTTTTGTTATAAGCACTTCAAGTTCAAATGTTGACAATATTTATAAAATTTAAAATTTGCAAATTATTTTGTWGTTTAAAAAAATGACCAATTTTCGTAACTAAGGATTGAAAATTTTAAAAAAAGGTTGCACATATCTAAATAGTTAAATTTTTAACCAAAAATACAAACACAGTTTTTTTTCGGTTCATC